TTTAGAATTCTAGGAGTCATCTTGGGAAGGAGAGGGTTAAAGAGAGCCTGGACCAAGGAGCTAATAAGTGCTGGGCACTTTACACAAATTACCTCACTTAATTCTCACAGCCACTTTCCAAGGTAGTCATTATTATTCCCAATTTACAGACAAGGGAACTGAAACTCAAGGAGATTAGAAGCTTGGCCAAGGTCATATCATTAAATAAGTAGAAGAGCTAGAAATTGAAGCCGGGTTTATCTTGTTAAGCCACTGCACCTTGCAGCCATCCAGCTATTTGTTCAACTGCTTCCAAGCCAAAAGCAAACAAAATATTGCTTCAGTCAGAGGGGACTTAAAAAGATTTCCCAAATGAAAGCAGTGCCACGGCACAATCGTCTTTGTCTTCAACATAAGTCCTGTCCTGTTTTAAGCACCCCTCAGTGGTTTCCCTCAAATGAAATCCATCAGGCAGTCTGGCTGGAGGCTCCATCTCAAGTCTTATCTCTTCCATGCTCTCTCTTCCTCACTTTATTCCGGCTATGTTTGCCTTTTGATAGTTCTTTGAATATACCAAACTCTTGTCCGCAGACGTCCCTGCACGTGTTATCACCTCTGGATCTTTGTTTCCCCACGTTCCATGGCCACCTTATGCTCTGCATCCCTCAGGTTCCCCCTTCCCTGATACCTCATCCAAAGTAAGCTCTTCCCCTCATATTGTCTCAGCTTTGTTTTCTTCTTTTTAGCATTTAACACAATTTGTGATTAAAGTATTTACTTACTTGCTTCCTTCCTTCCCACCCCACACCCTGCAGGAATATAAGCTCCATGAGGCAAGAATCATACTAGCTTTCTTATATCATAAGACCTAGCACAGAACAGTCATTCAATGATTTGTTAAATAAAGGGAGGTAAAATGGGAGAGAGGAAGGGAAAAAGGGAGAAATGAGTGAAGAGAGTGGAGTATTTGGAACTGCATGTGGTCTGAATTTGTTTGTTGTAAGAATTTAAAAGGAGATAATAGTAGGGGAAGAAAACACTTTAAATTGTGCCTAGCACATAGTATTCAATGATTCATAACTCTTCTTTATCAAAAATATATCTTTAACCCACATGGGTTAAACAATAATACCAGAAATCTAGGAAAATATCTCCTCCTCTAACCAAAATGTATTATTATTCCCTATGGGTTGAAGAAATGCAGTCCACGTAGAAATTGCACACCTATGTCAAAGTCCTCTGCATCATGGTCTCTCCCAGCCCAAAGGCCACCTTTTCAATCAAAGCAGAGAGTCTGTTTATTTCCAACCTTCCTTATTGTTCTCCTCTTTTTCTAAGTTGGTGGCAAACTTCCTCCTGTTGGCCTGGGAACAGCAGAGCAACAGCTGGAAAGGCTCATGGGCATGGCCCCTCCAGTAATCAGGAATGGACAAATGAAAGACAGAATAAAGGTAGAATAGGATGTCAGCAACGCCATGTCCCAAAGTAGTGATATCGGTCTTAGACAAGTCACTTGTTGGTGTGAGGGCTGAGACTGCCAGCATTCCAAGTCTAGCTTTGTCATTTACTAGCTGTGTAACTTAAGCCAAGTTACTTAGCCACTCTGTTCTTCAGTGTCCTCATCTACAAAACAGGAATAGTAACGTCCTCATAGGGTTATTGTAAGGAGTAAATAAAATCATTGTAAAGGACTTAAACAGTCATTGGCACAGAGTAAACACAATGAAACTTAACTATGATATTTCATGTGTGTGTGGGTATGGGTGTGTGGGGGGGGTGTGAAATATCATTAGCTGATGAAGATCTTTTCCAGCATGAATAAATCATTATTCAATGAGTTACATTTAAGAGTCAAGTTAAATATTTTGGGGTTTGAATCCTGTCTGAGAAAGCTTTCTTCTTGAATTTTCTATTTGTCTTTTAAGGTAGAAAACAGTGTTACGAAGGGAGAATGGAAAACAAATTTACCAAATCCTATAAGAGAAAGTTCTTGATCCCTGAAATCCCAGATCAACCCCTGGAACTTCGCTCCAATGCGGTCCTGTCAGGTGGGGCATGACTGTGCAAGAAAGAGTGACAGAAAGCCTTGGAAAAGAGAATGAGATGAGAGGGACACTTGTGGGAAACAGGTCTAGGAAAGGCTGAGTAAAAGAAGGCTCTGGAAAATTGGAAGGAATTCAGAAAAATAAATAGGACTAGGATAGCTAATGTTAATCGATCACTTCCCAGGTGCCAAGCACTGTTTCAAGTGCCTTAAATGCATTAAACTCATTTAATGCTTTTTTCCACCTTAGGAATTCCTATTTTCCATGTAAGGAAACCAAGGCAGAGAGAGGTAATGTAGTTTGCCCAAAGATCACATAATTTCCGAAGAACCTCATCATTTAAAAGCTCAACAAAACAGATGAGTTGGCAGATGTAGGGTTTGTTTAGAATTGGAAAGGGGGAAAATGAGAATAGAGATGAAATCTGAGTTTATGTGCATTTATAATGATGTTATTGAGGTTTTAAGTTCTAAAAACTTTGGTATCATTTTAGAAAGTATTTCTTAAACTCTGATCTCTGTTTTATGCACCTTAAAAAATTAAACCGACTGTACTAGAAAATAAGTCATAAGAGACAGCGATGTCTTTTGTTTGGATGAGAGGCAGTCTCAAGCTTGAGAGGGCGTGTAGTTCTTCTACCATAGTTGTAATAGTTTTTGGTTACTCAATTTTGCTTGTCTCTTCCCTCCGCCTTGCCCCAATGACCAATATATTCTAGCGATAATAAAGACGGACACTAAAACAGTGGGAGAAAAATAAGAGTTTAGGGGCTAGCTATAGAAGGTAATTTCTCAGACGCTATAAAATCCTTGCTTATTTGGTTTGCAACCCGGAAACTTAGTTAATAACCATCATTTTCCAACTCCTCTTGCAAGTGCAAATCCAATACAATTCTTCAGTGAGGCACAGTAAAAAGAAAATGCAAAGGCATTTGAAAAAGCTCACCCATTTAGATTTAATTACATACATAACTGGTGTCCTCCCAAGTGTGAAAATGCTGTAACCAATAAATCAGACAATAAAATGGTATCTGAGCAGAACAGATTTGTAGAGAAGATGTGTGAGCAATCAAAATTCACTGACTTGCACTGGGCATTTTTACCCAGAAAAGTTCTTATATGCAAGAGTAAATTTCTGCTCTTGGAATCTTGCCTCCTTTTGAACACGAAGGTCAGTTAGTTTCCCTAGAGGGTGTTCTTGTGTAATGACTTTTAAGTGAACAGGAGACTTTAATCTTAAAATCATCTCTATGTGTTAAAGAATCACTAGATCTGTGTTTGTATGTTAGATTTTTTTTTTGTATGTTAGATTTTAAGGACCATCTCATTTGTCTACTACTGTTTCTCACATGTTTAATTAATAACTACTAAATGAAGCTTAATTCAGTAGAAAGAATATTTCATACTAGATGTCCCTGGAGATTCACATATAAGGAAGACTGCAAACTTCTGCAAACCAGATTTTCAAAAAAAGTGACATTCAGACTACCAAAATATCTTCCCAGGTAGTATAGAAAAAAAAAAAAGACTCCTATAATAGTAAGGGTATAATTCAATCATTGCCAATGGTTTTGATCTTTATGAAGTGAATGCATTTTTAAATGTACTTACCTTGGATCGAAATTTCTTGTGAATAACAGAGTTAAGAAAGTTGGCAAAACTGGAGTCTTGTTATCTTTTGGGCATAACTTTGCCAAGTGCAAAATTTTTGGAGGGTATATATAGTGTCATCGCATTTTTCATATTCCCATTTGGAATAAAATCAAACCAACAAAAAATATTTTCCCTTTTAATAAAAGCTTGTGAAAATAATACTCTAATACACTTTGTAGCTGTTGGTCAACCATGTTAAAGGCACAATCTGATCTCTACAGGCACTTTCCTATGGAAAATAGTCAGTCAGCTGAATAACTTCCTCATTTGTTGTACTTATGAAAATGAAAATGTAACAGACTTTAGGATTTCAAAAGCATCCGTGGTCGCAAGTAAGGAAACAATTTAATAATAGCAGGACTTTATCATTAACGTATAATGCTCTTGGTTTTTCATTGGTTAATTCAGACAGGAATATGGCTCTCCCTGAGTGGGAATAGTTCCTTTCTTACCTTCCTTTCTGCATCACACCACAAAGCTCACTTTTTAAATGATTTTGGTTAGATTGGTTTTGTTTGTTTTATTTGTTTTTCTGGGAGTTCTAGGCTCTGACTAGAAAGCAGGAATGTAACAGTGTGAAACAGGCAAAGTTCAGAGATACTCCTGATCGACTCAAATAGGATCCATTTCCTCCTTCTCTCTAGCTGTGGATTTTTAAATCTGGGTCTGGCTTCTGCTCTTGTTTCTGTAAATATTTATCAGCTAACAATTACATACTGGCTCCAATGGCAGCAAATTTGGCTGAAGAAATAAATAAGAATGCTTTCTTTCCCCAAATATGCTAAATAATGCAAGTCCCATGAATTTTTTTGTAACTGGAGTTTTCTTCATCCAGTTATCAGACTGAGGTCTTTCAATTTTGACACTCATTTGACATATATAAAAATCATGTTACTTCACTATGCTCTGTTTCTCTCTCTTTTTTTTTCCTTTTTAAAAAAACATTCCCATTTGTTTGTCTGTTTCCAGTAAGTTTCTCTAGTAAGTATTTGCCTCTCCTATCACACATGCTAGGCTCTGCTGAAAGTTAATAGAACTGCTTAGTAAAGTCCCCTGAATCCTGGCACAAGAACCTTTTACAACGAAGAGAATTCCTTTCACTCAGAAATATTTTAAGAAATAAATTTATGAAAAGTTGCCTGATACAATTTAGAATTCATTATTTGATCAAGACACTAAACCCAGACCGGCATTTTGCAAGCCTTTTATTTTTATATTTGCAAAGGGCTCTTTACACAAGTTTACTTAAATTGACCTTTTATGCTTTAAATAAACGTAGTTTTTATAAAACTGAGGCAAAACAGCAAATAGAAGTTGTACTAACCTTAGTATATTGAAACTTCAAATTGGTGAGTGGGACAGGTACATCTGGCATGGCAGAGGACGACATTTCTGGTTCAGCTCCTGGAACACAGGTGACAGGCTCAGCGATTTGGTTCTGATAGAGCACTTGGCTTTATTTGTTCCTTTTTATCTGCATGGGCTAAGGTTTATTTGCATACTGGGTTATGATTGGATGAACAAACTGGGAGCAAAAAGAAAACGACACTACTTATTTGTAACACCTAGGGCAGGAAGCCCTTGACTTTAAACTTAAATCCTTAAGAAACCAGTGCTACAGCATTGAAGCTGCATCTGGAGAGAGGGCACTATTTGCAGACGAATTAATTTACAAAGCCGAAACCTGTGATAAGGGTACGAAGCACAGCTGCTCTGGCCACTAAGGCCAGTTATTATGTTTTTGGCTTTTCATGCTTTTTATGCTGCTGTGAAACTTTCTGTTCTCTGACAGACTTGGAATCAGAGAATTCGAGGATTGAAAAATAATCTCAAAGGGCACTTGTTCTCAGCAGAGGCTGGTGTGTCGAGGACCCTGGCCAGGTATCTTTAGGACAGTGCAGTCAGAGAATCAGTCCATGTCCCAGAAAAGCAGGGTGCTGTTTGTGGAAGAAAGGCCCTCTATAGAGACCCTACCCCAAGTCAGCTTATAAAAAATCATACCAATCCAATGTATTTTCAGTGCTTGGTAAGTAGAACTACTAGGATTTCAGGAGCTCTAAATTTATCTTTACTTAAATTACCTTTATTTAAATTACCTTTATCTAAATTATCTTTTATATGTGGGAATAGAAAAGTTAGCAGGATATTTTTTAAAAACTCGGACTGTGCTGTCACACAGTCACCGCAGTAGCAATATGGCAATATCGTCTGCTAAAACTCATTTAAAATGAAAGTAACCTCTGGTTTTGGAAGCTGGCTGGTATTTATCAATCATTGATGCAGGCAGTTGTACCAAGAGTGACTTTAAACAGGACTCCCAAGTAATACAAGTTCTTAAAATGAAATTAATGTTTCAAGTTGGGAACATTCAAAAAGGACAATTTTTAACTGTACTACTCCCATTTTAAGTACAATAGTTTATTTTATTGAAACTCTAGCAAAAGCTAGAGTCAGAACAAGATGGAAAACTTTGGATGCTCTTAACTGGTTACTAAGAATTAAGAACAACAATTATTTTTTCCAGTGAAAAATGCCAGCTCCCCCAAATATGAGATTTAGGTAGGGAAGCTAAGACTTACTGAGTAGTTACTCCAAATCAGGTGCAGAAGCCTTACTTTCTCTTTCCTTCCTCACTGGGTTTCCCATTTTACAGACATAGAGTAAGTAGCTTGCTTATGAACACAAATCTAATATGTACAAGAATTTCACTGGCCTGAATTTTATTTCAGGCCAGTCGGATGCTAAAACCCTGGCTCTTATTCCAATTTATTCTCCTTGCCCTCCTCTCCATAAGAGAATTCCCAGATGGACTTGAGAATTGGCTGTTTTGGTTCTCTAAGTGAGTAGTCACTCCTCACAGGCACTCAAGCTTAGCCTTCTATTCACCTAAAATGGGGGTCAGCAAACTTTTTCTGTAAAGAGATAATATTTTCCACTTTCTAGGCCAGATAGTTTCTGTTGTAACTTACTCAACCCTGCATGAAACAAACTACAGGCAATCGATACATTAAGGGGTGTAGGGTGTTTTGCAATACAATTTTATTTACAAAAACAGGAGGCAGGCCAGATTTGACTCATAGGTAGGCCCCTAGATTCTAAGAGAACCATCCCCAAGGTCCTTGCCTTCCCTGCGCTTCACTCTTGAAGACCAGATGGAAACTTCTGTGCTATTTCACCATTTTTGTCTCTCTCTCCCTTTCTTTCTCTCACTCTCAATTTCATTCTTTTTGGAAAATCTAATTGTTTTCTCTCTTAAAAATGTGTTCCGAATTAAATGCACAATTACACAATAGCTGTTACGTAACTTGCAGAGTGGTGCTCTGGCCAGGCCCAGACAGCTGTGTTTTGCTACTTTCTTCTTCTCTCAGCTTTGCAGGTGTTTGTGGAGTCAGACACTTGTCCAGGCAGTGAAAGCTCAAAGCTTCATAACACATTTGGTGTGTCATCTCAATATTTTAAGCTCATCCTTAATCATATTCTATTGAATAATTACATAAGAACAGGTCCCTTTATGCCAGATATTACTGAATGTAGGTAAAAGGAACAGCTTTGGAAACAGGTTACCACACCTGCACATTAAATTTTAACAAATATTTACCAAGTATCTTCTATGAGTAAAGCATTGCGATTAGAGTATCAGGAACTCTCCAACCTTAATCTTACTTGAAGGGCAGATCTCTTCTGTCCAGAAACCACAGGCCCTGAGATTTCTATTTCTGAAGTAAGTATCATCCTGCCCCTGGAATTTGTCTCATAGAATAGTATATTTTTAGGAGTGGTTGCATGGGTAAAAGGCCTAGGAGATCACTTTCCTCCCTTACAAAGTGGCTTTGGTGAGAACACAGGGCCCAAGAAACCCCACTTCAAGACTGGACCCAATCGTGTATATTTTTATATACAATATATATTTGTATATTTTGCCAGGATTATGCATCAGAGGAGGGGCTGGAACTTGAATTTGGGATTAATAGATGAAGGATGTTTAATCTTCCTTTCTTTCTTAGGGACAAGTTAAGTTACACACACACACACACACACACACACACACACATGGCAGTAGGGGGATGGGGAAAGGAGCATAATTTATTTTTATTTTGAATCTGATTTCTTCCAGTCCTTTGTGAAAGCTGTCATTATACAAAGAAATATATAGACCAGGTCATCAACCATTGCTGAAACTGCTGTCTCATTTTATAAGGAATCTCTCTAAAACTCCATTCAAGCCATAGTCACTGAAAAGCTAATGGAACCTAACCTTCTCCCACCCACATGAGTAATTGAAATAAAAGCCATTTATATTTAACAAACTTAATTGTATGGTAAAATAAAAAATAGCTGATTTTCACATTTTCTGATTTCAAAATCCAGGATCAATTTGTTGAACTTCTTTTGCTCAGTGACATCTGCCATCCCTGACACTTCATTGTCACCTTCAGCATGACTGGGTGAGTCTGCCAGGTGGTTAACCCAGCAATGGATATGTCCCTTTGCTTTTGATCACTGCAATTTCAACAGACACCACATGGGCTTATGTGCCTATTTGGGTTTTAATAATTTGGAAAAAGTGGATCTTGTATGTGATGAGAGAATATGTGCTCAGTTGGCAAGTTGCTATTAAAAATGGAGGTGGAGGGCTTCCCTGGTGGCGCAGTGGTTGAGAGTCCGCCTGCCGATGCAGGGGACGCGGGTTCGTGCCCCGGTCCGGGAAGATCCGCGGCTGGGCCCGTGAGCTATGGCTGCTGAGCCTGCGCGTCCGGAGCCTGTGCTTCGCAACAGGAGAGGCCACAGCAGTGAGAGACCTGTGTACCGCAAAAAAAAAAAAAAAAAAAAAGGAGGTGGAAAGAGAATTCGAGTATGTGAACATATGTGTTTGTGGGCTAATTTCTGTTCATCTGACAATCTTTTCCAATTGGCGATATTTTTTTACCTCTGATTTCCCCTGCTCCTCACATATCCTATCATCGCTTTCTCTTTGTCCTGTGTTACTAAGATGGCAGATGTCCCTCTTACCTGATACAATGAGGACACTAATCAGTAGGGTCACTAAAAGAAATAGTAGATTAAATCCTCTATAAGACAGTTATTTCACTTTAAATAGGTTTTGCTAAACTTCATGGGCCAAAACCATTTCTTAGAACTGGGTCTGCTGCTAGAGTTTGAAATAACCTTGCATAAATAATGTTCACATTGTTGTTGTTTCCTCAGAGTGCAGAAAGAATTTTAAAGACATCTTTGAGGCAATCTGAATGTAGACTACTTTGAGATTTTTATGTATTTTTAATTTTTTTACAATTGTCTTATACACAGATTATTATTATTATGCCAGTGTGTTTAATAATTTGACGAGATTGTTTGCATAACACTCAGTTTTGTTTTCATAGAAATCACTTTCCCTTTCCTCCTAATAAATCAACAACTTGAATAACATTTAATTTAATCATGCGGTTGAACTTCTAGGTTCATGTGAAAGATAAGATTTTGGAGCAGAGATTTGACTATTGCTAAGCAGACAAGATTGTGCCCAAAACTGAGTGTATGTAGACATGAGTGTCAGTACTAATTTTTTTCTCTTTTATTTTTTATTAAAATTTTTTTAAGTCAAATACACCATGTATAGAAAAACCGCAAAAATCATAACTTTTTATTTATAACATCTCAACAAACAGTCATGAAAGGAACAAAACAAAATAACCACCACCGGGGTCAAAGAATTGAACAATATTAGAACCCCATAGCCCACTTTGTACATCCTCTCTGTCACTATCCCCTTCTTCCTCACCCCAGATGACCAGTATCCTAACTTCTAATGCCACACATTCTTTTTTCCCTGATTTTGAACCTGTAAGCAAATCATACAGTCAGAATATTTTTACAAAGGAACTTCAGAGGTGCAAGTTAATCAGGCAAGTGAGTTAAATCGTGGTTGTAGGTAAAGAAAGTTTCTCAGGGAGTACTCTCCACCAAAATATCCTCCAATAAATTTAAATTATAAGTGCAAAATACGCAGCAACAAGTTAGCATTTTTAAGAGTCAAGGGGCACTTTTTTTATCCCAATCCCGGCACATGTAAGGGTGCGGAGAAATGACCCTTTTCCTGTAGCGTTTCTCAGAGCTTAATAACACTTGGCAAATTGTATTAAAATATTAAAAACATTTAACCCTTGATCTGGTTATTCTAATTCTAGAAATTTCTTTTAAGGAAACAAATAAATATGTGTAAATTATGAACAAGTATCTTTAAAAGAATATTATTTATGAAATTAAAAAAATACCAGATGGTTAGATAAATCATGGGTTAGTGAAAAAAGTAAACAAATACTTGAGGAACTTTTGTGATATATTGTAAATTAGTAAAAAAAAAAAAAAGCAGGTTATAAACCCGTGTGCCCTCTGTAGGCATGCTAAGAAATTGTGCTTCACTCTTAGTATTTGGCTGAAATCTGCAATTTGCCTTTGACCTTGGCCTCAGCATTTGGAAAGCTAAATAGCTGAATTTTGACTTCAGTGTCATTTTTGGCATTTTGAATTTATGCATGATAAAAACAATCATGTGATTTCTTTGGTTATATTTTATAGAATTTTCCCAGGCTGAATAATGATTCCTAAAGATATCTCTGGAAGCTGTGAATATTACCTTATATAGCAAAAGAAAGTTTGCAGATATGATTTAGTTAAGGATCATGAGATGAGAGATTATTTTGTAT